ATTTTTTTGTACCCCGCACACGCCACACGGGTCAGTCAGCCTGCCAGCCACGTATGTCGTATCTCCACGCACGCGTGGTCCGCGCGCATGCCATACAGGCGTTCGCCAGACCAGCGCAGAAGCTAGGCGACCGGGGCTCGACGTCGCTCGAGGCGCCAGACGCTGTGTTGCCCTTGAGCTAGTCCTTCCCCGGTCGCCTAGCCTCCGCGCTGTCTGGCGAACGCCTGTATGCCATGCGCGCGGACCACGCTTGCGTGGAGATACGACATACGTGGCTGGCAGGCTGACTGACCCGTGTGGCGTGTGCGGGGTACAAAAAAACCCGCACGGACGGGGAAGCTTCACGGGTTCGAGTCGTCAAACATTAAGCAGCGGAGGTGTGCCGAGGGGGGCCGGGAGGCGGTAAGCCGTCGTCGCCCGGCGCTACGTGCAGCCATGACGATGGCGCTATAAAGAGGTTCCTCTTTTCCGCGCCCCCCCCCCCCCGCAAGGCGCGCGATACACGACCAACCAACACAGTGACTGAGGGCCAGTGAGGGCGAGCCCTCGCTGGTCACAGCTGTGGGCAGCCACACAGTACGCTGTCTGTGTCAACTGTGCAAAGTGTGAAAAGAAGTCAGAGTTGTGTGAGCAGTAGAGGAGCTGCACTCCAGGCTTCTGTCTGTCGTAACGAGCTGCATGCCACCGAAGGCGCTGTGTCGAGGTTCGACGCGCTGTGTCGAGGTTCGACGCGCCGAGCGGCGCAGGTTGGAGGAAGCCGCCGACGACGAGCGTAGAGCGTCGGATTCACTCGCCGCGGCCCATACATAGGCATAGCCGTGGCCGTGTCCCCGTCTCAGCGGCGAGGCGCGGGACTAGGGTTGCCTAACGATTAAGAGCTGAACAGTGTTGCTATAGTGCTAACAGTAACAACAGAACAACAGTGGGGCTCCCCAACAACAGTAGCTATCGTTAGGCCCACTGAACAACAGTAAGGATGGCCTGGCAGTGACCCACGACGATCTCTAGATCGCGTTTTTTTCGAGCTCAGACGGCAGCGAGCGACTTGTGCCTGCAGCCGTAACTCGGTCTCTGTCCAGTGCGGGTAATACCCGGGTTTTTGCCATTTTCTGCTTGCTCCGCTGAACAACAGTAACAACAGTAACAAACAGTAACAGCACGGGCTGGGGTGAACACTTGAACAACGTTGAGGAGATTTCAGCCAACAATAGTGCAACTGTTAGACCCAAAGTCGTAGGCACCCCCCTACGCGGGACCTTAGGGGACCCCTAGGGTTCTGAGGGCCGGATTTTTTTAAGACCTTTTAAGAGATTGGCGGCTCCAGAGCCGCCTCGGTGCGTTTAAGAGATTGGGCCCATGCTGCCACTCCCATTTAAGAGACCATTTAAGAGAATCGCACACCGCGCCCAACCTGAGCCATTTGAGCCATTTAGAGCGTTTAAGCGCGGGGAGGCTGGCGGGCGGGCGGGCGAGCGAGCGGGCGGGCGGGCGGCAGAGAGCGAAGCGCTCTCGGGGCCGAGCGAAGAGCTTTCGCCGCCCGTCGGCAAGTTTTGAGTATAGACCATTCATGGTGTGATCGCGTTTAAGGGCGCGGGGAGGCTGCCGAGTCGTTTGACCGTTTAAGACCGTTTAAGGAATCGGCGGCCCAGCAGCTCTTAAAACTTGCCTAGGCAAGTTTTAAGCCGTTTAAGCCGCAGGCGCCCCAGGGCCCACCCTTTTAAGCCTAGGGGTCCCCTAAGCGCGGGACCGTCACACAGGCGAAGTGGGTCGCGTCCTCCGATTTCCTCAACTCAGGGCCCGTGTGGGGGCTGGCCTCCGAGTCAGACTCCGAGTTCGTGTTTTGGGTTCAAGGGGTGTGGTGGTGGACCGGACGCCGCGTTGAGCTCCTATATCGCGGGTGACAGGGGGGAAGGGGGTGCGGGTGGGGGTATAGAGGAGCAGCTAGGAGAGGGAGGCGGTGGGCGTGGGCGAGCGGGAAGGGGGTTGAGGGTTGGTGGCATGGTGGGTGAGCGGGCGGGAGCGCCGCCGCTCGCAATCCCTGAAGTTCTAGGATTGCGAGCCCCGGCGCCGGCTGCCGGCTGCCGCTGCTCGCAATTGTTTGCAGTTTGGAGCGCACATGCGTTGCTGATTGATCGCAATCATTCGCACTAGTTGATTACCTTCTCTGGGGAAAGTTATTTAGGAGCACCCCGGTTTCGGACATCGGCGAACGATTGGACGGTGCTTCCAACTGAGCCAAATGGAGTCCAGCGATGTGGGACCTCAGTCCCAGAAGCTTGGAGCTTCAGGCCGCGACCACGTGGCTAGGTGGACACTAAAGTGCCATTTTGGCGCCAAATCTTGGCGGGAAATGACACGTGGCTTGGCGGGAGTGTGGTGTGGCTGCGCTGCTCGACAGCGCTGCTGTTGAGCGCCAGCTGCTGCTCCCTTCAGCCAGACGGCCGGGCCTGCGCAGCACGACCGCTGGCCTTCCTCCTGCACCACAAGAGCGCGCCAAGGCGCGCGTCTGGGCAAGCAGTGCGTCTCATCGCGATGCGAGAGTCGACGCTGTGACGCCGCCGCTCGCTGGCTAGAATGACAGTGGCAGCATTCGAGTACGCGTCGAGCTGTGCGTACCAGCACTTGTATGCGAGCTCATTGTCTCCCTGAGCTGCTGTGGGGTGCGTGGGCTCAGCTGCGGAGCACGTACTGGGCGGCGGTAGGGGGGTGCTCCTAAATAACTTTCCCCAGAGAAGGTACTGAGTTACTGATGCACACACTCCTCCAACACATATATCCGCCTCTCTCCAATGAGAGACGCCACGTCAGTGCCGATACTCGAGTTGTCAGAGACGCCGCCTCGCCCGGATCGCGCGCCGCCCCACACAAAGGGCGCCGCTCGCCGCGCGCTCAGTGCCGGTGGCGGGAGTTCGCGCAAGTGTTGATCACGACGTAGTTCGCGAGGCTCGGCCCCAGCTTGATGTCGTTGCGGCCGAGGCGCGGGTCGGCGTCGCGCGAGCGGACGCGCTGCAGCGGCGCGTCGACGGCGTGCGTGGTGAGGCGCACCTGAGGCGAGGTGGGGTGCCGGTCTCTCCACGCACACCGAGTCGGGTGTGTGTGTGTGGGGGGGGGGGGCAAGG